ATTCCTCAGCACCACATAAGCAGAAAAAAAAAGCTGGAAGTGGTGCTGTGGCTCAAGTGGTAGAGCACTAGCCTTGAGCTGAAGAGCTGAGAGACAGCGCCCAGGCCATGTTCAGGCCCCACGACCGGACCCCCCCCAAAAAAAAAAATTCTCTGCATTTCTTTTCTATAGTCCAGCTTCAGATAAGCCAACAATTTTTTATTGCCAATAATTATACCCAGATGGCTTCATACCATTTAGTTGGTCAGCCAAAGAACTATAACTTTGTGAACACTTGAGAAAAAGAAGCACCCAAAGTAAAATGCTGAATTGATCAATGGCAGCCTATTTTAGACGTGACAAGGCACTTGTGGGTGGCACTGAACAGGGGCTAAGTAGCACTAGGCAGCCTCTGTCCCATGGAGATGCCCTCTATTCTGGGGGCAGTGAAAAGAGGAACTGTAACATTAGACTATGTTTCTCTACTTAGGGAAAAAAAAAAGCTATTTGACTTTTAAATATTGCACAAACCATCTTTACAACCAGATGCATCGTTTTAAAATTGAGTGATAGTATCAAGTTGATATTAAAATATTGAAAACCAGGAGTTTAAGAATAAAACTGGGGGGGGGGGCTGGGAAGGTGGCTCAGTGGTAGTACGCTTGCTTTGCATGCCTGAGGCCCTGGGTTCGATTCCTCAGCACCACATAAGCAGGAAAAAAAAAAAAAGAATAAAACTAGGGGCTGGGAAGATGGCTCAGTGGTAGAGTGCTTGCCTTGCATGCATGAGGCCCTGGGTTGGATTCCTCAGCACCACATAAGCAGAAAAAGCCAGAAGTGGCACTGTGGCTCAAGTGATAAGAGCACTAGCCTTGAGCTGAAGAGCTGAGAGACAGCACTTAGGTCCAGAGTTCAGGCCTCACAATGGACCAAAATAAAATAATATATATTTGAATGATTCATTAAAAAAGAATAAAACTAAATTTAGTGAATTTGAGGGGTTTCGATAAGATCTGTATGTTTAACTTCTAAGACTGAGAATGGATCAGATTCTGTATCAGTTGATTCCCCACCCACTACTGATTCTATCCTTCAAGATACCATACTGTAGTATGGTACAAGGAGGTGGCTCTTAACTCATGTTTTGATTATTTAATGATTTACATTTAATAATAGCTTTGTTCTAAGAAAGCTACTTGCCAACATGCTCATCTAGTTGTAACTTTTCTAGAAATCAAAGGTGATAGGGACTATGGTTTCATTTCACTGCTCCAACAAAGCACAGGGCTACCTTTCTTATGGTCTGGACCAATCCTAGGGGTCTTCAACTAATTGCAAGTCATATCACCACCAATATCACATTTATGATCTACCGACTATGAAGCTGAAAAATGAAGATGCAAATAAGCACTCAAAAAAGTAACGAATTTGCAAGGTAACTAAAATGCACAGACTTACTCTACAATAGATATGAATTTGCAAACTGAATTGGTTATGAAAACTGCTGGGGAGGGACTATTATTTATTTCAGTAATGCAGGTAGAATCTGACTCATCACCAACAGGTCAGCATTAGAAATCACAGACTCACTCAACTGGTAGAAGTGTATGTATGGATGTACTTTAAGTGATCTCGTCTAAACGTTTTGATTCCCCGAAAGTTGGCAGACATTGTGGAGAAAGCCACCTTGGTCACTCTGGAAGAAGATGCAAATCAGAGCCACTGGTAATGACAGATACCAGGGAGGATATAGGTTCTTGTTTGGGATTCCCCATGTCTGGGATATACAGATCCTGTTAAAAAAAATAATAACCTTGGACACAAAGTAAGGCAGAACTCCATGAAGAAAAAGGCAGGGATAGGACAGGAAGTTATTTGAATGTATCTTTAAATATAAATTGAGCCCCAAAGGTAGAAAAGTCATCTATCTACCCAATAGTGGCACATTTTAAACACAATCAAGACTTGTAGAGCAAAACCCTAGTAACAAAAAGGGGATTAAAAACTGTACCTGAGAGGAGGAGAACATTCTTAAACAGTTTTGTGATGTAAAATTCATATATATTTCCTCTTAAAGGGAGCTAACGACTGGCATACTTTGATAACAAAAATAAGTTTGAGTAACCAATGGAAAAAGAGTGATTTGCTGGAACACCCCAACACCCAATATAATCCCAAACCATTTGTATGAGGGATGCAGGAAACAAGGAGTCAAATAAAACAACAATGGCTTCTGAATTTTAGGGAAGGATGCCCTCTTCTCTCTCTCAAGAGTCAGGTGGTCAGCTGAAAAATAAAAACATTGTATCAATAGGACACTCCAAAAGAAAAATAAATTGCAGCCATCTCTGTTCATGCAGTATCAAAGGTTAAAATAGAAAAAAAACCCAAACACCAAAACAACCCACAGAACTATCCAGGTCTTAAGCCTTGTGGCAGGGAGGTCCTGATGGGCCCATTCAGAATGCTGCTCACAGGACAAAGCGGTCAGAAGTATCGTGAGTCACGCTGACCCCAGAGGAGGGGGGCCACTTCTGGTGGGGTAGGTACATACATCCACCTCAGGTGGGGCACATGCTCTCTTACACCCACAAGTTCTGGATCAGCTGCTTCAGGAACATGACAGCTAAACATGAGGGTTCCAGCACCAGACTTGGATTTGGGCCCAAGTTCTCTTTCTCACTCAATTTCTCTTTTCCTTTGAAGGAATATCATTAAGTATGACTAGTTTTGGTGATGACATCACTTCCGTAGTGGCTCTGGGCAGTGGTTTATAAGGACATTGACGAATACAAACAGCAATGCAATATATGACCCAGACTTTAAAAGAACGGGAGGCGATGGTGGAAAGGAGGTAACTCTTCCCCAACACGTGTGGACACACAGCTCCTGCTCTTCTAATGCTCTGTGTCCATTAGGAGAGACTGGGGCTTGTCAACAGGATGGCTACATAAAGAAGAAGCTACAGAAGAGAAAAGAGAAAGATTCAGACTCAAATTTAGTTCTTAAAGTCTTTTTTAAAAAATGTGCTTATCGACCATAAGTGGAGAAAGAGAGCAGCAGTGTGTCAGTTAAGGGGATGCTGTCCCCAAGCATGGACAGAGCGGTGCAGTGGCAGGGACAGGGCCTCCACTGGGCACCAAGCTGGGTCCACAGGTCAGGTGGGGGCTGGGGTGGGGGAGGGTGGCAAAGACCATGTGAGCTATAGGACACCACAGGGAAGTGTCTTGGAGAAGCTGGGGCCACCCAGATAGCAGGACACTTAAGTTCCCCATAGAAGGCAAGAAAGCAGGAGACATTGCCACCCCTATTTCTTTGACCCAATATGACAAGCATGTGTGTGCGTACATATGCATACCAAGCAGTGACCAAAAAGAACTCACAAAAGGGCACACAAAACAACATTTGGGTAAAAATATATTTCCCCCACTTTAAGTGTTGGCACTAGTGATGATATATGCATAGATTACCTGTTTGCCACTCTAACAGACACAAACCTGGCAGGGGGCCAGATGAGTACTTTCACACTTGAAGAAATAATGATGCTTCACATCAATACAATTATTTTAGTTCTTAAAAAAAGACAAGTGTCTAACATGCCGCTTACATTTATGACAACTCTGCATTTAACACTGGAAGTAGATTACACAACAATTTTAGAAAAAACACATCGGTTATTTTCAAACAGCAAAAATGACAAGAATCTACAGCTACAGTTTAAGGCATATCAGCATATTTTAAAATCAAGAAATAGACAAAGTTCTAATGCTGTTCACAGCTTCATTTTCAATTTATTTTTAAAAATTCCCCTTCATACCTACATACAAACTAAACTTCATAGGTCATAATGCTAAGAAGTTATCAGCATCACAGATGTGTCCTGCCAGTTGAAGCAGGGCTTGTGGAAGGTGAGACGTGACAATCCAGACACTGGTACATGGCAAAACCAAGGAATCTGATTGGACAGTTCTGAGAAGACCACACAGACAGTATGACATGTGTCGGGGACAGCTCAAAACCCAACTCAAAACAGGTTTATCTGTGAAACACTTTCGGCTTTGTCAAGAAAATGAGGCAACCAAGCCTATTTATCTGAGGTGCACAAGATACGGAGAGTTAAGTGTTATTGCTGGTGATTTGTGAAGCAAGGAAGGAAGATAAACTCACAACTAACATCACATGAAACAACTCCCATGGTATCGAGATGCCCTTCTGGACAAAACCTTGACTGCTTAATATAGACCTGAAGCTTGGAAAACAGAGTCTCTAAACTGCCATTAAATCTCATACAGGCTTTTCCATCATGTGCTACAGCACACCCAACTGCTACGGGTATCTGAGGTTCAGAAGTAGCAAAAAGATGTGGAGGGAGGGAGGCTAGCCAGAGCTAGCTGGCACAAAAGAGGTGGTCACTGTGCAGCTAGCACCACAAAGAGGCCACTAAACGAAGATCCAAAATGTAGGGAGGTGGCCATAAAGGCAGCCTGGCATAAATGTGTTCCTTCTTTTGTTTTGTTTTTGTTTGTTCCCAATAGAAGGTAAGACTTTCTCATTTTAGCTTAGTATTCATCATCAGAATCAAGGATTCTCTGGTGACTAGGGAGGCCCACAGGCTGGGAGCAATGATCTTGACATCCACATTTGACATCAAGAAGTTGAAAAACATACCAATGATACAAAAAAATAGAAATGGGACCATTCCATAGGTATATTTAGCTAAAAACAAAACAAAACAATCTACTCAGACCATTATTTCCTTATCCTATTCCAAAAGAAAAAAAAAATTCATCCATCCCAATGTTCCTCTAAGTTTAAAGTCAGAAAGATCTCCAAAGTTTCTTCCTGCTGTACTTACATGCAAAGGCGAAAGCACATCCAATTAGATTTGAGGGTATCATTTATTCCGTGCAGAGCCAAGGACTACTGTGAAAAAAGGCATAGATACAGAAAGAAAAGAGCAGCAATAACAAACTAAACAGGGCTGGGGAGCAGTGTGGAAAAAAAAGTTTCAGAAGCAACACATTTTTTTTAAAAAATGTTCCTGTTTCTTTAGACTTTTTATTCCCTGACTGTCCATTTTGCTGTGAAAAATTTAATGCAAAAAAAAAAATCAATAAATCTTGGCATCAAAAAGTCAGCTGGATGGTTTATGTTGCGAAGCTCACTTTTCAAACCTTGCAGGGATGCAAGAAATAGAATGGAAAAATGCACTTTCTATTACCAGGCACAAAAAAATGCTCACACAGGCAGAGGTTGGAACATACAACACAACTTTTCAAGCTTTTGTGCAAGCGCCCAGCACAGGAGCAAATGCAGCCCGTGGTTAGAGTCAGCATGCCATCGACACTTCCTGCTCCACAGCTAGCTTCAGACCAGAAGAACTTTAAAAACATATGGAAAGACAAAAATGCTGGTGTAGTGGCTCCTTGGCCAGTGAGAATCTCCACCGCTGCTTCTAAGTCTAGTTTCTAACCCAGCTTCAGTTTGCCTCAGTGAAAGTGATTTCCCCAGTTGCTTAAGCAAGCCTAAATTGGCCCAGGAAAGACCTTTTCTTTCCCCTCATGACAATGGGATGAAGACGGGGGAGGGGGGGGGCGATAATCTTTGCTTGAGTCAGATTTATTCTTTTTGTTTGTTTGTAGAGAAAAGTGTTTCATGTTGGGAGAGGAAGAGAAGTGCAGCACCATCTATCCTGTTTCTCTGCCTGCTGTCTGAGGGGAAGTACGGGGTTCATGAAAAGGTTATCCTTTCAAGGAAGTGGAATGGGCACTGTGCAGATGAAGCAATGGAGAGACAAAATATAGCCTTCTCCACACAAATCAGGCAGGTAGTACATGTCCTGGTATATGGTTGAGGCCACCTGGGTGAGGTGGGTGGGACTAGCCAGAGTTAAGGGCATAAGGGAGGAAATGCCCTTAAGACAACCAGATTCCAGCAAGGAAGCTGGAAGTAAGGTCTCATTGCTCCTCTTTCTTTAAAAAAGCAAAACAACAACTTTCTGGATGCATGGGTTATGTTACATTCCTTCCCATTCTACCTTAAATTCACAAGATCCTTACAAATATATGCTGATGACACATGGTTCACAGAGAAATTTCCACTGGAAGTATTTGTGGCAGTTTTCTCATGAGGGAAAACTTTTTAGTGGAGGTACCCCTCGCCTGGAATCAGAAGGTTCTATCCCTCAATCCAGAGAGCAAAGGTGGGTTTAAGTTTATGAAAGGAGATATGGGAAGCCTACTGTGCTCAGTGGTAGATTCTTCTATTGAGGTTTTATAACCTGACCTTCGAGACTGATGATCTGTGAGAGGGTCAAGGATGCACTGGTGAACATGAACTTAACCATCAATTTCTTATGCCAGTCCAGACCAACTGGGCCAGGCTTAGAGAAGCAGTGTTCAGACGCAGTCTCAGTCCCTAACAGGAGACAGTCTGAACAGACCACAAGCTGAGGCCAAGTAATGCAAGCAATTAAAATGAAACATTCATGCAAAGGTAAAAGGTATCTGCAAATGCTTACCCACTGTTCTGCCTACATACAAATCTGCCTTGGTTTGCGGCAGGTGTGGAGAAGAGACAGTGAGCTCAGGGACTGTGCGATCAGTTGTTGCCATGGCTACTCAGGGTTTTAGTTGAGCTGCTGAGGCGGTGAGAAGTTTTCACGTCAGACGTACAGGTAGCTTTTTAACCCCACTTTCCTCCGTCCAAAGCGACATACAAGTAACAGGCATGCTTCCCACTGCCATTCGGAATAGGCATACAAAGCAAATCATTGACTTGCCAGAAATAGAGTCCAGCTGCACAGAGCAGTTGCTGTTTGCTATTCCCTTGTTCTAGGGTTTTCCACCACCCGACAACATTCAGCAAAATGAGTTAAGAGTTATTTGTGTTTGGGGAAGGGCAAAACAATCAAATAAAACAAAAGGACAAAGATGGCAGAGATACACGGTTACTGCAAAAGCAGGTGAATGCGGGAACATCCTTGGCTGGCCAGGCTTTATGTGAAGCTTGCACTGCAAGTTAAAAAACAAAACAAAAAAGTTAGAAATAATAATAAATTAAAAAAGAAAGGAAAATTAGGAGCGCCAGCACCAGCATTCAGTGATGGTGACTGCTCATGCAATGATTATGAAACTGACAGAAACCAAAACCAAAAACTTGAGTAAGCTATTCCACACAACAGCGAAAGCGAACACTTCATACTGAATAAAAGAACACACGGTTAGTTTCCATTTGCACAAATTTAGAATTCACAAGTGACTTCTTGAAACCACCCCATTTCCAATGGAAAAATATCTTTTTTGGGTTTTTTTGTAATTACACAAACCATTATCTATTAGCTATCACACTGGCACTCAATAAGGACTTCATTCTTCCACTTCTGAGCTGCCAAAGGAGTCAAAGAATAAATATGTTTAAAAAACAACAACCACCTTATGGTTTGGAGAGGTTGAAAGTAGCTTGGGAACTAGAATATAGTGGATGAAGACATGCTACTGATCTAGTTGGGAAGGAAAGGAAAAGAAGAGTCATTGTATGGCTACATTTACAGCAATGTCGAGAGTGTTTCCCTTTTTTTTTTTTGGTACTAAGCAACGCCAAACATACACAGCTCATTTTAAACAAGTCCAAAACATGCAACTTTATGCTTAGCAAAAATAAATAAATAAAAAAGAATTTAAAAAAAGGTGAGTAGACGGTTGCATAATCTGTAGTCATTATGTGCCAGTTTTAAAATGATGAAATTTAGAGCTTTCTTTTGAGATTGATGGACCTTCACCAGCAAATGCCTGCTGAAACTGTACAAACATCTTCAGGGAGCATCACCTGTGTCCATTGTATAACTTACCCTCAGCCAGTCCCACCAGTGGGGAGGCCACAAATAGGGAAAGTGGCGTGGTAGCTAATCGGATCCACCTAATGGCAATGCCAGGGTTAGTCCTGCTTTGTAATTTTAGGAAATGTTAATTACTCTCATGCCACTGCAAGTCAAGGAGAAGTACAAAGCCTTACCTATGTTTTAAAAAAGGAGTGCATCATTATAATAGAAAAAGAGAGTTTAAGATGATTAGAGTTAAGCTTGGAGGTGGAAGCATCGCAGGTAAACCAATAAGCATCGTTTGTAAAATGTTCTATCTCCAACAAAGCCAGCTCCCAAAATGCATAGGTGGTAACTCTGGAACCTGTTCCAGCTACAACTAAGAGGCAGAACCTTCCACTGCTGTTCAAGGTGCTGCTCTGGTTGCCCTGATTACTGTCCAGTGGTCCTCTCTAACGGAAATGGTCCATTCTCACTGGTAATTAAGAGAGGTAACTTCAGGCTTCCAATCAGCTTTTCCCTTCACTATACACAGGGAAGTGTGACACACACAAAAAATACTGTGAACTAAGTCTAAGGCCATTAAAAACACAAGAAAATATATCAATATGCTAAAATAGAACTCCCACAGACTTTATATAATGCTTTATGTAAATCATTATACAGTGATAAGGCCCAGGATGGGAAGAAAACAATCTAACCTGTCAAGAAATGCATGGAAGAAGTTCCCCCGCACTGGGCAGTTTCTTACTAGATGGATTTTTTTTTTTTTTAATACAGCACAATGCTAATCACCTCTTGAAATTTGTGTTGCCAAAAGGCACATCCAGTTCACATGGAACATTCTCTCAACATTGCTGGTCTTTTATAAACATTTTAATTTTAAACTTTGTACCTTTTACGTATGTTAAGGTATGAAAACCTAGACTTTGGGCTGTGAGCCTGCAGCTTTCTCTTTCATTCACACCTTATGTGAACATATGTGCACACTCACACTTATGCATGCGCACATGCACACACCTACCCCTATTTTTCCCCTGGTTTGGTTTGGATCAAGGGTTCAATGACAAATGGCTTTTATTTGTCTTCTCTGAAAGAGTGGCTGTAATCTCAGACTCTATGTGAGGAATACTGGTATCAGTGTCCAAAACCCTCCCAGTACACAGCTATTAGTGTTTTCTTGATGTAGGTTATAATCTAGGCAATTGTTTCTGTGAGAATTAATTCAGTATTACTAAATTCTGAGCTCTGGGACTCCTTTGGACACTTGGGTCCGTACCAATCCCAATTAAAATCCCTTCTCATGTAAACTACTTGGGATTGCTTAGAAAAGTTGCCTGCTTCTTTACTGTCCTGACACACTGCCCACTCAGTGCTTAGAAAGTCACAGTGTGTAAAGCATGATCTAACTGTGCTGTGGTTGGTGCACTTTGATCTTTCCACCAGGCGACATCTCTCAATTCCATAGGAGCGAACCTGACAAAGTTGAAGGTGTGTCAGCACTGAGTTTGCTTTTCCCACCAAGTCTCAATGAGCATTTTGCAGAAACTCCATGTTATCTGCCACCTTTCCAAAGAATGTAATTCCGCCTGCTGAGTACCAACATTTTTGTTGTATACTTAGCTGTTCACTTTTTGCTGAGCACCTTGGCATTAAAGGATGAAGAGCAAGATTCCTGAAACAAACTCCAGGGGCTGCCCTGAAGCACAGCAACTTCCCCAGACACAAGAGAGTGTCCAAAGGTTCATTATGAGACCACCACAAAGTGTTCTCCACCCATCTCCTTCTCATTGTATTTATTGTCATCCATCAGCTACTGTCATAAAACTACCCTCTGGTCTTCCTTTAAAGTAATTCAGAGGGTTTCAGATTACAGGAGGATCTCATCTCAAGGAAGCTCAAATCTCCCTCTGGAATCAGACAGCTGCTACTGAAGTAACCCACTCAAGAGCACAATCTGACCCTTTGGCACATTAAATCAAGGCCACAGTTTAACATGTTGTGTGTGGGTACAGGTGTGTCTGGGGGGTTAGCAAAAGTGAGTCAATTGGATGGGCTTTGAGCACATTTCACAATAAGACCATCCACCATCTTGATGAATTCAGAGGAAACGGGTAGCCACTCACAGCTCTTGTGCATGTAGAAGTTTGGGAACAAGATTGCTAATGACTGGCTTGCCACGCCTTATATCCATTTTAACAATTATGATTTTAGGATCCTCTTTACCAAGTGTCATGAGAATTGTCTTCAGAGAAATATACTCATCTTCTCTGAGAGCCCTAGGATTGGTGCAGAGATGCTACGGTAGATGACTTCAGTCCTCATTGCTTTATCAACACAGTCTAGTTTTTATAAATTAATCCTTGGGGACCCTTTAAAAATACTTTTAAAACCTTTGTCATCTTTCCTGCACTATACAGAAAATGCGCGCTTTTATTTTTCTGCTAACAGACTAGTTTCCAGTCTGTCAATGGGGGAAAAAATGGGCAAGTAGACATGCAAGAGGAATGAATCATTAAGAGGTCCCCAAGAGGAAGAGTGACAGCTGCTTACTTTTTCTTATCCTTGTCTTTCTTGGTTTGCTGGGCCCCGGACTGCTGGGCCTGTGACTGTAGTAACTGGGCCGCTGCTTTCTTCTTCTGAAAGTTGTTCACCTCCTCCTCCAGCTCCTTCTTCTTGTCTTCTACCTTCTTCTTCTCTTCTTGGTGTGTCCGCTTTAGAAGGTCAAACTTCTCATGAAGCTGGAGAGAAAAGGGGAAAGACAGGTTTGGTGGAGAGAGTGAAGCTGTTGTCCACATACGATACATGTTATGTGTACTAGTTCAAAAACAAAACATTCATCCAGTGGCTGCATTGCATTTGATTTAAGCCAAAAGGTGAAGTGCTAAGATGCTGAGAAAAGCAAGCTAAGACGCTGAAGACCCTCACCCTCTGCCCTCTGAGCTTAAGCCTTTGTCACAAACTCTTTAGGGCTGAAAACTCCTCAGACATTCTTTCTGATAAGGTACATACTCTTTTTTTTTTTTAACATAAAGAAGGTAAAACTTATCTGTGACCTAATGACAAGTCCACTTTAGTGATAGAAGTGGTTCTTTATTTCTGGTCCTTTATCAATATGTATAAAATACCATTACTGATACATATACATAATGTTTATAAGTGTGTGGGGATGGGAGAACATCTCTCTATATACATATATATTAGCTCTTTATATATTAGCTATGTAAATGACAAGATGTGTCAAGTGTAGCTGGTGAGTAGAAGGCCTCCTAGCATGTGTGAGGCCCTGGGTTGATCTCCAGCACCAAATAAATAAATAAATAACCCAAAACACCACCAGGAAGGAAGGAGGAAACGACTGCTATAATTCTCCAAGAAGGACAGGATTTACCACTGATAAACATCTTGTGACAAAAGGCAAACTGTCCCTTAAGTAAGAAATGTCTTCTTATCATCTTGTGGCAATAAGTGAAATTGTCCCAGGAAAACAGCCAAAAAGTTCAGGACAGAACACCTGATAGCCAACAATAACCCACTTGTTCCTGTTCCTCTTAAATGGTAAAGACACAATAATTTCTTCAAGAGACAGATTGAGGAAATGCTCAACCTGTCTACAACTGTGACATACCTTTCTCAGCCCTGCCTCTAGTTCCTTGTCTATTTAAAGCTAAGGTAATGTCTGTACAATGTAGATTTCAAGAGCCATAAACTGAGCAAGTATGGAGCTGCAAGCACCATATGACAAGGTCCGAAATCTAAGATCTGCTACTGTCTTGGTTTTGTATCCAACTGAAAAATTCACTGTATCTTTATGACTCTCAATTTATCATTTGTAAAATGGGGAACAATAATATCTGGCCCATTTTTCTTTTTTTTTTTGTGGGGGCTGGGGAGGGGGGTCCAGTCGTAGGGCCTGAACTCTGGGCCTGGGCGCTGTCCCTCAGCTCTTCAACTCAAGGCTAGCACTCTACCACTTGAGCCACAGTGCCACTTCCGGATTTTTTCTTTTAGCTTATGTGGTGCTGAGGAATCGAACCCAGGGCCTCACGCATGCAAGGCAAGCACTCTACCACTGAGCCACCTTCCCAGCCCCTCTGGCCCATTTTTCTTGCTGGGCTGGTATACCACTCTTGTGGTAAAATGTAGACAACACCTGACTACCAGGATCCCTATAGCTCAGGGTACCTGCAGAATGTGAAGTATTGATGAAATCATTATCCTAGGTTTCTCTGGATTACCTCTTTCTCGGCCTCTTTAAGTTCTGCCTCTTTTTCCTTCACTCTCATGACAAACATTTGTCTCATCTCTTCTTCTTTCTTCTGCAGCTCTCCCAGGAATTCATTCCTTTTGGCTTCATATGTCTCCTGAAGACTATTCAAAACCACAAACCAAGAACAGGTTATGCAATTATACAGTAAGAAATTATACAGTAAGAAATTTCTACCCCTCTGCTTTGAAACAATGAAGCTACTGCTTGCCATGTTAAAACTTAAATGCAGTGCACTGCTTTGTTTTTATGTATGCTTGAGAAGACAAACAAGAACCAGAAATTAGTCAACCAGCACAACACAGCAATATCCATTAACTAGCCAAGTTCTATCCTCCATACATATCCATATAGACCGAGGGGATAGAGACGGCCCAGTGTGTGCTGGAGGAAGGGCAAAGGATCCCACCCTGGCCCTTCCAGCTGACCCATCTTAGGTGGTGCCAGTGGCTCACACCTATAATCCTAGCTACTCAGGAGGCTAAGATTGAGGATCGCGGTTCAAAGCCATCCCGGGCAGGAAAGTCCATGAGACTCTTATCTCCAATAAACCACCAGAAAAACAGAAGTGGCACTGTGGCTCAAGCAGTAGAGCGCTTGCGTTGAGCTGAAGAGAGCAGGGACAGTACCCAAGCCCAGAGTTCAAGCCCCACGGCCGACCAAAAAAAGAAAAAAAATTGTAAATTGTATCAAATAACAAACTAAAATGAGCATACACTACTATCAAGTCAGTTTCATTGTAGAATACAACTTAAAACCACATATAGAGTCCAGAACAAAAATTATATGAGAATGCCAGTAGATGAATTAAAGCCTTTGATAAAATTCAATGCTGCTTCATGATTACAGCCTCTGACGTATGATACATGAAATGCGGATATAATGTCACTTACTGTCCAAGGACGTTATTATATGTAGGAAAAGTAAGCATTTGACATAGAATCAGTGCTTAATAAATGTCCCCCTCCTCTACTCATATTCTTCCAGCCTCTAATATGAAAAGCAGACTTAGTGAACAGGCTTCAAGAAACAGTATGGAGAAGAATATTATTTTCATTTAAAATCCTATCCTCTTTCTGTCTACTGACCTGAGACCCTAATGTTTTCCATTAAATGCCATGATCTCAGCTTTATCTCAAAACTTGCAGAAAAACCTTTGGTGACATAGCCAAAAAGGTACAGCCCACCTGCATTTCCCATCACATACATACTCATTACAAAGAAAAATCAGGGGCTGGGAAGGTGGCTCAGTGGTAGAGAGCTTGCCTTGCATGCCTGAGGCCCTGGGTTTGATTCCTCAGCACCACATAAGCAAAATGAAAAAAGCCAGAATTGGCACTGTGGCTCAAGTGGTAGAGCGCTAGCCTTGAGCTGAAGAGCTGAGGGACAGCGCCCAGGCCCAGAGTTCAGGCCCCACAACCGGACCCAAAAAAAAAAGAAAAAAGAAAAGAAAAATCAGCTGATATTTGTTAAAGTGCTGTCTCTCACTTCTGTTGTACAGACACACTATTGGAGTAACCATTTATCATTTCTCATGATCAAGTTCATCCTAAGGGCAGACCACAAATTGGATAGTAACTGGGGCTGTTCCCAGACACCCTGCAGAGTCACCAGTCACGCCTGTCCACTATAGAGAGAGAAAAGGAAATGCAAGTGGAAGAACACACATGCATGTAGACACAAATCTAAAACAGACTGAACAAGTGTGTTACTTGGGATGATTATAGTTCCATAATTAATATCTACATTGGCTTATGAGAAATTCTGCCCTCAACATATGAACAATTATGTGTTTTGAGTTTTCTTTCATATTATCTGATGAGATAAAATATGTTGACTAATAAGTAAAAGTAGTATTTGGACTTCAAATTTAGGGCCTGTAGCTACTGAGAATCCTGTTGTGTCAGAATTGCCAAAGGCAAGGATAGCTTGTTCTTGCTATAAAATTTCTTCCCCCTCAATGGAGCACCTTCTATAAGAAACACCACCCATACAAGTTCCAGAAACTACCATTTCCTTCCAATTGAAGGTTCCAGAGTCAAGAGACTCTGCTCATGCCCTCTCTTTCAGGGACCCCACAGTGCATCATGCTCCACCACCCTGGTAGCACCTCAGGATAACTCTTCTAAATACACGTCCCTAAACTCATGCAGGACATCTGGTCAAGGTCAAATAGTCTGTCCCTTCTTAGGTGATTACATGGAACTCATTTGCTACCCACTGCTGACTACCCATTAGTAAAAGAACTGGACTAGACTAACTTAGAGCTCCTCAAATTTGCTCATCATGGAAATACTCTGAACAAACTCCTAGACAGACTGTGCTTTGAATAATGCTGCCCCAATAGTGAGAATTTCAAGATAACTGCCTTACCCAGTCCCAATCACATCCTAACTAATGTGCCACTTTTTAGAGAAACATCTTTAACCTATGCAATACAACCCAATCATGGGTCTTAACTAATATGTTAAAAGAAAAAAAAATACTTAAAAAACTAGAGTACAGTACAAACAAGAGTTGGTAAAGAACATGGAATGAAAACATTGGACCATGAAGGAAGACATTTTCATATTCTATGCTTCTTCCACAGCTGCAGTGCACAGTCGAGAAGAGGTCTAAGGAGCAGCTTTGCTATTGGCCTTGACATGAATCTTGGTAGTAGTTTTGACATTCTGGGCCAGAATAGGAAAATGGGCTTCTTGGTTTATATCACTATATTAAACATCACAATGATCTATATCATCATTAATGATATAAACCAAATCAATTCCTTAGTTATTTCATGTATCCTAAGTTGTGAAGTTGTGTGTGTGTGTGTGTGTGTGTGTGTGTGTGTGTGTGTGTGTGTCACAGGTGCATGCACATGTGGGAACCAGTTCTGGGGCTTGAACTCAGCTTTGTGCTCTTGCTCTTGTTTGCTTTACCACTTGAACCACACATACACTTCTGGCTTTTTGGTAGTTAATTAGAGACAAGTGTCTCATGGACTTTTCTATCCTTCTGTGTAGGCTGACTTCAAACCATGATCCCCCCGCCATCTCCACCTCCTGAGTAGCTAAGACTGTGGGCATGAGCCACCAGCAACTTATATCACCACCAGGATTCTTACAGAGCAATTTGCACTTGGCAGGAGGTATCCACCCCTCCATTTTATGGCTGTAGAAATATGAGCATGAGCTAAGGCTGGGACTGGACCTCCGCCACCTCACTCAAATGGGAGAGCTCAGCCCTGCCCTATCTATATGGCTTGGTGAATCAAAAAGCCAATAAACAGACAGGCCTCAGAACTTTCTAAACTCCGAGAGAATGGTGGTTACTAAGTACTCTCTGTGAGACTGGTATTTTGACAGGAGGAAAAAAGCAGTGTGGGCAGGAACAACTGTAAAAAGTACAGTGGGGTCTCAAGAGAAAAGAAGCTCAGGGAGACACCATCAGTCTCCACTGTGATGTAGGAGCCCTCTCCTAAAATACCAGCCAGAGAGACCGGGGGAGGGAGGGAGGTCAAGGGAAGGAATGATGTTCTGGCAGGTAGAAGCTTGTTCCCCTGCCACAGAGCAGCATGGGGCCAAGTGGAAGAGCAGGATGATGAAGAAGAGCTTAGTAGATTCAAGGAAGACAGCAGGGCTGCCCTTTGTTAGCTTCACTGCCTGTGGGTGCTCGGAGGACTTGCACACACCCAGCCCATCTTGCTCGCACTACATAAATGTATGTAGGTGATGGCTGTCTCTGCTTATAAACACCTGATAAAACCATAGGGAGACAGCAGGCTTACAGGGAAGAACAAGAGTCACTGCACACCCATTCAGGAATCTTCTGCTTTGAGACCCTTAAGGCTTTTATTTTCCCCCAAGCCCACCCTACACTTACTATCACAAGACCTTAGGCAAGCGACTTCTAGGGCCTTGTGTCTCATTATGTGTAAAACAGATGATCATACGGACCTCCACTGTATCAGTTAGTTGAGATATAGCCTCCAATGCCTGATGATAAGTGTCATTAACTGTCACCATGCCAATGCTTCTATCCAACAAGCCTTTGTGCGATTCTGCCATCACTGTCTGAGAGGTTCCTGAGTGCTGGGTATCCCTATACCTGAAGGGTTTGCTGTCAGGGTCAGTGTCCTTGAAGCCCATCTCCTCAAGCTTGCAGCGCCGATACAATTCGTAATGGCGGGTGTGCGTCTGCTCCCGTAAGTCCTCCATGTTCACGCGGATCAGCATCTCCCTCAGCTTCACAAAATCACAGTGGTTTTCATTCTCCACTGCAAGGGAGGAGGAAGTGGGGCATTTCAGTCACAAAATCTAACACATTGTTCCTACCGCTCTTGAAATGAGAGGCCATGTGAAGATGCTCCACTGCCTTCACCTCCAGTTCCTAAGCAAGGCAGAAGTCAAGGCTGACCAGCCCGTGATGGCAGCAATCCTGACCTATACAGGCCAGGTGCCTCTCAATGCAGCTCACTGGGTTTGAGGAAGCTTTACCAATCTTAATCATTCTGCCAGGCGGATACTGAGACTCTTGTTCTGCAGATACAGAAACCTGGCTTCGGTGAGCAAACCGACCTTCTAAACAGAACCAAACACCTATTATGTGGCTCCAAAGCCAGGCCAATGACTACCCTCCCATGCTATAGAACTGTAATAGGTACCACCATTATTCCTAATTACCAGCTATCTATGAAGTAACATTTCCTTGGCAAACAACTTCTCCTCAGATGATGGAAAAACAAGTACTCTATGGTTTGCAAGAAGTTAGTGTAGGGGCTGGGAAGGTGGCTCAGTGGTAGAGCGCTTGCCTCGCATGCATGAGGCCCTGGGTTCGATTCCTCAGCACCACTAAGCAGAAAAAAGCCGGAAGAGGCTGTGGCTCAAGTGGTAGGGTACTAGCCTTGAGCTGAAGAGCTGAGGGACAGCGCCCAGGCCCAGAGTTCAGCCCCCACAACCAACCAAAAAAAAAGTTGTTAGTGTAGCTGATATTTTGCTAGCACGACTGATACAAACGCCTAGGGTAGGCCTCTTTTTTCCTTTTCTAGGAAAAGAAAATTTCTAATCTAAATTTTATATATAACTAAACATTTTTTTCATGGCATTAAACCAGTAATAGTCTCAGTAAGTGCTCTACCATATGAGCCAGGTCTCCAGCCCCCTTTGTCTTTCTGTTTTTGAGACAGGTCTCATCAACTTTGCCTGGGCTGACCTCTAACTCATGATCCTCCTGTCTCTGCCTTCCAAGTAGGTGGTGGAATGATAGGTGTGAGCACCATGACCAAGTACCGCTCATCCTCTGACAGGACAGCCTTATGGAAGTAAGGCTTGGCAGTTCCTTCTCTTGTGGTCCACCTGCCTGATGACTGTTTTCCTCCTCTTCCCCAGGATGGTCAGGGCTAAAATGGCCTCATTCTCCTCCTGATGATCCTTGTGAAACATCACTTTCCTACACAAGACTAGGAGGGAAGAAATGGCGCCATTCACCACAGGCATTTCCCCACACCAGACATACCCTGCACCACGCCCCAGGGATACTGCCTGGCTTTGGCCATCTTGTTGCCAATCTTCACCTCTTCAGTGCTGCCAACCACTGCGAATGGGAGATGGACCTGCCAAGTCAAGAGAAGACAAGGGTAGACATCTTCTACAGCTACCACAAACATGGTTGTTCCATACATCCCTGCACTCTTCCAGGTACACAGGGACCTCTGCTTGGGAGCAAGAGAAAAGGTGGTGCCCTTAAAACAGGGAGTAGATCACTGTCTGGTGTGATGGAGGCACTTCCTACAACCTACCCCCTACAGCCAAATACTGCATGCTTGATACGAGTGAGATGCAGGAGAACTAAGTCAGAGAAACACTGCTGTGAATCTTAGCTATGTGTCCCAGCCAACACAGGAGCCTTCTGCTATCTGGGAACCTGGGATATCCTGGCAGATCCAAGAAACTCACTTTTTAAAATGTACTTACTTTTAAGTAATTTACATTTAAATTAAAAGTGGGAGCAGTGGAAAATAGTTTCCCTGTACATATATAATTTTATGAATTTTATTTAGACTCAAAGTCAAATCAACGCTATTAAAAAAAAAAGACTAGATTGTTTTTCAAGGTAGATGGAAATTCTAAAGGGAAGAATCATTTTGCTAGACATTTTATACTGAAATGCTTTAAAATATGTGAAGAATAACTTATGTGAACCTGCTTTTAAACTGTCAATTGTATGAACTGTAAATATAGATCAAGTATTTTGTTCTTTTGTGTGTGTGTGTGAACGCAGGGCCTTCTTTGCTCTCGCTAGACAGGTGCTCTATCACTTCGGCCATTTTTGCTTCAGTTATTCTTCAGATAGGGTCTCACACTTATTTATCCAAGGGGTTAACCTCAAACCATAATCCTCCTACTTCTGCTCCTTATGTAGCTGGGGTGACAGGCATGCGCTACCATACCTGCTTGCTCTTTGACAGTATCATACCAACTTTTTGCCTGGGCTGGCCTTGAACTCAATCCTTTAATTTCTACCTCCCAAGTGGCTGAGATTTCCAGGTATTTGGCTATCATCACTGTAGCTGGCTCTGATATTATGCATTTCTGATAAAAATTTAAAATCTGAAAATTACAAAATGTATACTGGAGTTCAAAGACCCATTATTAACATATCACACAGGTAGTTTTTAAATTGATTACATGTTGAAATAATATTTTTGATATATTAAATTAAGTAGGTCCTTGGAATTTATACCTTTCAGCCTTTTTTATGTAGCTACTAGAAAGTTTTAAATAACTTATGTACGTCCCATTGAATTTCTAGTGAACGGAACTGTTAGGTAGTACACAGATTAAGTAGGAAAAACAATTTATTCAAAAATCTTGGCTTACTCCTCACCCCAATTTATCTCAAATAGATATGATGTACAAGACAATGGACTTTTCACACTGGTTAATTTGATAGTTATGGCTACCTGCTGGGAGTGAGGTAGAACAAATCTATTTGGTTTTTGTTAGCATACAAGAAGGAAATTCTAAACAGCTGCTCAGAAAATTATTTTTCAGGGTCCTCAGGCTAGTGCCCTTCCCCTAGAGACTAAGTTGAGAAGGGAATGTTTTCAAGCCAAATTCCCTCCCACAGATAGCCTAGCAAAATCCTAGGATCTGATTTCCCAAGCAGTGTTTTGAATGATGCACGAAGTACTTAAATTTCCTAGTTCATCTGACATGTTCTCTTTCTCAGACTCCAAGCCTAATGTCCCAAGGTGACCTTGCCATCTTATGGCACCCCCATCAGCAGGAATTGTTTGCCATGGAGAGCCGAAAAGAAAACTTCCTGATAAAGCGCCCAATTCATTTGGGATGTCACAAGTCTTCAGATTCAGTTAGCTTGATAAAGACAGAGAGCAAAAGCTCATGGGTATTTTCTTCCCAAGAAGTTGAACACAAATTTAGTTCTTGACCATGAAACAGAATTTAGGAGGCCAGGAAGAGTTATAAAGAAAGTAGACAGCACTCACTCGTGCTGTTTCCTGAAGCCTACCCACAGTTCCACAGCAGAACGCACCTCGGTCTGGACTTCTGACCCCTGATGAAAAAGGACACTGTTCTCCTCAGTGGCGCTGAATATAAAGAGAGTGTCAGCTCGAAAGTAAACTGCCTGGTTCAAATTCTACAAGGCAATAAATGGACTGGGCTCACCCTCCTTAAGTGAGGCAGGAATAACCACAGCACTGCTGGGAGCACTAAGTGTAAATGCCGAGTGCACAGCACATACCCTATCCACTTTATAAATGTCACCGGCTACTGTTTTCAAGAGGCTCTCAAAATCCACATCCAGAGAAGGTCAGAGGTAGCAGACATGTTTTACAATTACCCATTGAAATGCTGTCTGTGGCATCTCTCCTAGGTGGATTCAATCAGCATCTACTGTCTACTAGCCACCTGGGATGGAAAGGCATTGCTTCAATCAGGCATTTCTTCCATCACACTAGCTCCAATGTCAGACTTCACACTGGACCAAACCCTTCACAGCTCTTCTTCCACTAGTTTTGGTTCTTTTGAGGAAAAATAGTGAGCCTCCCTCATTGTACCCCTCTTGTGTGACTGCTCCGCTCCCCAGCTTCTCCGAGGAATTCCAGACTTTTTCCTACCTAAATTCTAACAAGTGCACATGGCATCAACTGTATGCATGATGCTGTGGTTGAGAATTACACATTCCCAAGGAAAAAGGTATGAATTGGCTCACAGATCCGCTATGGAAACAATACAGTTAATTGGGCAGGGCAGAGGTTTCTCAGGAGGGACTCTGTCAAAGCACACACAGTCATTTATCTCTTGACTGGTTCTTCTCTGTGCTTGGACACTGTGCCTACCATCAGATGCCGGTTTACTATTTGATGAAAGAAGGGAAAGGCAGAAAACAACTATCAAACAGAATTGTCAAGACAGAAGCAAGCAGAGAGCACTTTCCTGTGAGCTGCTTTGTATGAGGTTTTGCAAGAGAAACCATAACTGTTAGAGTAGGAAAAAACAAACAAACAAACTGAGATCATCCTGCCTAACTCTCCCGCCTAATAGCTAGGGAAACAGAGGCACATACTAGTTGGCTTGCAGTAGTAGCAGAGTCAGCCCCAAAGTGAAAACTTCAGGTTTCCGGTGCAGGCTTCTGCATCCACTCTGCAATGCTGGTACTAAGAAATGCTTCTAAGAAAGCCACTTGTTCCCGTGTAACTTGAGGACTTACACTCATTGTTGCATTAATCTCTGCCACGGTTTCTTCATCTGTGGGGAACTGATATATCTGAACCCCATTGCTGACTAGTTCACTCATGATCTTACTCTTGAACTTGTGCAATTCATTCTTGGCAATGGTGTCAGCCTTTGCAATTATTGGAATGATGTTCACCTGTAAAACAAGCATGTCCATTTTTATACAGTTCCAATGTATACACAGCTAAATAAAATAGAGTGAATGGATAAAAATAGTAAATACCTCACTGTAAAAACTATAGATGACTACATATCAGACTTCCTATTTAGATGCAAAATAATCTTTTAGCTTCATCTCCGCACACTGACTTCCTCCCATCCTATACAGGAGGCACTTGTTATTTCCTCCCTGAGCTAGCTGCCTCATTCTACTTTACTACCCAGTAAAAGGAAGTACTTTTGTGACAAATTGCAATAATAAAGGAGCCTATTCTTTGAACTAACCACTCCTTGGAGACCCTCCCAGTTTCTCCAGGGGCTTGGTTTTTGCATGCTCTCTCAGTGGAATAACAAAGTTTTCATTAGTTAAAACAGCAGAATACCAACTATATTCAAAATTACATCCTTTTTTTCTGATGAGCTGAGGATTACTGGAAGAAGAAAATCTTAAGTATTGATAAACAAAAATCATTTTTTCACTTACTTGACAATTTTCAAACTCACATCTGCTAAATCTTCAAAAAGTAGGAAATATTAAATTATTCCTTCAGGCCAGATACTGGTGACTCATGCTTGCAATCCTAGCTATTCAGAAAGCTGAGTTCAAAATCAGCCTGTGCAGAATCTCCAATTAACCAGCAAGGAGCAGGAAGTGAAGCTGTAGCTCAAGCAGTGAAACACTAGCCTTGAATGGACAGCCCACAAATCCTGAGTTCAAGTGCCAGTACAAAGATGTGCATGTGAGAGCATGCGCGCACACACACACAACTACTCATGCCATAATGAGACCCACTGTCAAAAATAAAACTCACCAGGCACCAGTGGCTCATGCCTGTAATCCTAACTACTCAGGAGGCTCATAGTTCAAAATCAGCCCAGGCAGGAAAGTCAACAACACCTTTATCTCTAATTAAACACAAACACACACACACACACACACACACACACACACACACACACACAAAACTAGAAGTGGAGCTGTGGCTCAAGTAGTAGAGGACTAGCCTTGAGCATAAAAAGTCAGGGACAGCACCCAGGCCCTGAGATCAAGCAAGCCCCAGGACCAGTGGCAAAAGCAAAGCTCAGATTCTGAGCCTCAGAATGCAACATTTATGGCAGAAAGCCCAAACTCCAAGATGGGACAGGCTTTCCCAATTCCCTCAGCCCTGTCCACAGGACATAGTTTTAAAATATTTTCTTTTTAAATGTAGTTTTTTCACGTGGCAGTACCAGGCCTTGTGCTCTCATTTGGCTTTTTTCTTTTTTTTTTTTGGGTGGGGGTCCGGTCGTGGGGCCTGAACTCTGGGCCTGGACACTGTCCCTCAGCTCTTCAGCTCAAGGCTAGCGCTCTACCATTAGAGCCACAGCGCCACTTCCGGCTTTTTTTTTTCTTTTTGCTTATGTGGTGCTGAGGAATCAAACCCAGGGCCTCATGCATGCAAGGCAAGCGCTCTACCACTGAGCCACCTTCCCAGCCCATGGCTTTTTTCCAGTTAAGGGTGGTGCTCTACCACTTGAGCCACAGCTCTAATTCCAGCTTCTTGCTGGTTAGTTGGAGACAAGAGTTTTAGCGCCTGGCTTCAAACCTCAATGTTTAGATCTCGGGCTCCTGAGTAGCTAGAATTACAGGCCTGAGCTACTGCCCTGCTAAAATGTGTTTTAAGATTAATTTTCTTCTTCCATGCAGGTACAGAGGTTTCAGTAAGACATTAAGAAAAATTTAGTGAGACTTGGGGCAATGCTCTCTACTCAGCCCAGGGGCACAGAACATGGAGTGTGCAGAGAAGGTTTTCAGTTCAGTCTGCATTCCTTGCTTCTCCTCCAACTCCAAGAGCCAAGTCTGAAATCCCTAATAAACCAGACAGAGCTAAAGGCCGATGGGAAGCCTTCCCTTCAAAGTCTTCCTCCACTGATTCTTGAGCCCTCAAGGCTTGGCTAACTCTAGCCAACTGAAGAATAAGGAAAACACCACTGACTGAGGGGACAAGTTTAGATCAGGATTTGAAGAACAAAGAAATGCTCTAATTGTGCTGACTGGCTATTTTGAGCTAAGGCACAAAATTCAGCTAGTGCTAAATTAACACCCACATGGACATAAGATGTCATTTTTCTGTCCATGTGGTTCATATTTTCTTGGCCAAGTTGATCAGAATAGCTGGAGACATGAAGCTCTTTCAACTTTAAATTTTCTTTTGGGCAGGAACTTAAAAACTCTTTCCTGAAAGAATTGTGCTTATTTAACTTGAATAAATAAGCCCACTGATGATGCTACCTAGCTGTCTGGTCCTACCGCTCATTTCCTTGAAAGCTTTGTGGTTGGGCTTTTGGGTTTGTGTCTGTTTTTCCCTTTCCTTTTCAAATTTCCGGTTATACAAAACCATTATCCAGATATGATCCTGGCTTGGTCAACATAGCTACTCAGGAGGTGCTCCACCACCATTTTGGCTTCATATGTCAAATAAGTTCCCACACTATTTGTTCAGGCCAGCCTGAACCGTGAGCCTACTATTTATGTGTCCCATGTAGCTAAGGTGACAGGTACTGGTAAAACTTAGTGATGGAGACACAGTCTCACTAACTTTTTACCCAGGCTGGCCTCGAACCCTGCTCTCCTGATCACTGCCCTCCTGAGTAATTAGGATTGCAAGGATGAGCCAATGTCCCTGGACTGAGTGTCAACTATTTTCAAATTTAACAGTACCTTCTTTCAACTGCTTTGAAAAAATGTTTGAAGCTATAGATATATTCAGGTCAGGGGCCTGTTTACTTCTTGTGAATGCATTGGTACAGTTTTAAAATCTAACAAGCTAGAGTGTTCTCACATAGGCAAAAACTAACAGCTGTATTCCATTCTAAACCTCAAATTAAGGCCGAACTTTACAACATTTTCAGAGATTAAGGGAGAGGTTTTAAAGAAAATAAAGAAACCTCAGATTGACTTTTCAGTCTTCCATTAGGAACTAAGTACTCATTTTCTGGGCTGGTTTCCTTCATTTTGAAAGGAAGAGGTTTTTAGGCACTTAGCATGGCTGAGCTGCAAGGTTCTGCAATCCAGAAGGAAAAAAAAATACACCAGATATAGAGAACAAACAGGGTCCTTAGAATAAAGATGATCTGAAAGGAGAGTGGACAAAAATCAGAGTGGCAGATGATACCTTGCTGTCCAGCTTCTTCATGGTAACCAAGTCCAAGGACTTCAGTGAATGTCCAGTAGGAGCAATGAAGTAAAGGCAGGCATGAATCCTCGTGTCGTGGTAGTTGAAGAGAGAACGTTTGATTTTCAATTCCTCTTGCAAGTAGGCCTCAAACTGGGCATCAATATATTCCACTATTGGCTTATAGCTAGAAAGCACAAGAAGGTTGTAAAAACACATTTTCAACTGAGCATGTTTTTAGTCTCAACTTCTTTTGCAGCTGGGCAGTCCTCAACTAAACAGCCATTCTCCCCTCTAAGACCTGGAGAGAGAAAGCGGCTTTTTTTTGTTTGCTTGTTTTATTTTGCCAGCGCCAAAGTTTGAACTTAAGAACTTTGCACTTGCTGGGATTGCTTGCTCAATTAGTACACTAGCACTTAAGCTGTACCTCCAGCCAAGCTTTTTGCTTGTTAATCTTGGAGATAGAATCTTGTGGACTTTTCTGCTTGAGCTGGCTTTAACTTGGGATTCTCCAGGTATCAGTCTGCAGAGTAACTAGGACTGTAGGTATGAGCTATAATCTAGCCATACCTGGCTAGAACCAAAGTGTTTCACTTTGGAACCTCAGGCCTTCTGTCATGTAATCTTTGAATAATTCTCCAGGTCCATTCACCTCTCCCCTTTCCTAGCTCCACCCCTTCAAGTACATAAGCTGGGTACATTTGTCATACCCACACGCACACACATATACATATACATCGCCACATACATCAGCCCTATTTTTTCCTCTGCTCATCCTGGCCCTCTAGCTTAAAGTTTTCTTCCTATCTTCCTTCTCTCTAGTCCTCAGCCTCTAAAACAGAGACTATAAATATACAAGTCTGCTGCCTCTTCCCTTCTCCCAGGGTAACCATAGAAGATTCTGCTAAGAGAATATAGCATTCCTTACTTCCGAGCCAAAACTGGGTCCCAAGCTCCATCCCAGTAGAGTAAGTCTGATAGCCTTTACCAACTGGTAAAACGAAACCAGTTTGTGGTATTACCACCTCCTGGGAGCTTTTCCCTGGTCCTCAGCCCACCCCTCCAGAGATCAGGGACTCTCTGGATTCTACAGCACTGTGCACATTCCATAACTTCATCGAGAAACTGAAAAGTCTGGACTATTATAATCCTAAAGATTCTTTCTGACACAAAAATGTTATGATTCAGTGATAAACTTTATAACCCTCTTTCCCTTCCCAAACCATAGTTCAAGTCCATTAGGAATAATTACATATGATTCTATTAACTGACCATAGACACAACCACTAATGGCACATTGGGAATACATTCAATAAATCGCGTTCTCCAGGAAGTAAGTAGTATATACAGTCTCTATGGGAAACCCATTAACCCCTTCATTTCTCCAAAGGTAGTGCTCTAGGGATTAGCAGCAGAGACAAATCTATAGCATATATACAGGGCTAATTTTCCATTGCCTTTCGTATGAACAGTTTATCTGTTAAAAAAAAAATAAAACATCCTTCAAAAGTAAACAACAAATGTCTGACTAAGGCAGGTAAGCGCTTCCTGATGGTTTACTAGAAGCACATAGACTCTCCAAAGGTTTTTGGAGAAGCTGATATGCTTCAGCATGAAAAGCACCATTTCAGCATTCTGGCAAGTAATGGCTAACTTTCTTTTGTATCTTCCAATTTTAAAATGTAGGCATTTATTACATTAACAATAGTCATAATTTGGGCTGGGAAGGTGGCTCAGTGGTAGAACGCTTGCCTTGCATGCCTGAGGCCCTGGGTTCGAATCCTCAGCACCACATAAGCAAAAAGAAAAAAGCCGGAAGTGGCGCTGTGGCTCAAGTGGTAGAGCACTAGCCTTGAGCTGAAGAGCTGAGGGGCAGTGCCCAGGCCCAGAGTTCAGGCCCCACGACCAGACCCCCCCCAAAAATAGTCATAATTTTATTATTGTTAATATTATGGGATAGTTACATAGCGTGGCAGAAGAACTCAAGCCAAACTGCCTAAGGCCAAAAATCTAACCTTAGTCACAGTTCAAGGTTAGCCTTGAACATCACTATACTCTGTCAATTCCACTTGCTTTCATCAGGGACAAAAGTGGTGCGTCTTATCAAAAGAGGTAGCTAACATCTGCAAAGGATTGCAAATAAAACTATAACTATTTTATAATAGTATCATACACAAAATAACACAATAAGAGGAAAGCGATCTGTGTTGTTAATCCTTCTCCCACCACCCCCCAACAAAACAAAAAAGAAAAGAAAAATTAAAAAATGGAACTTTACCCCCACCCAGTTCCCAAGTGACTATTTGGCGACTGAGCTCACTCACACCCTGTCAGGAAGTGGACCAGGCCCCTCCAGGGAGGTCCACCCACATCTGGGGGCTGACCCAGCCATTTCCTGACACGGAGGCAGGTTCTGGGATTAGGGTCCTTTCCTTCCTCCATTCTTAGCCCAAGAGGATGAAAAGCCAAAGCAGCTCACCGTACTTCTCCTTTCCTGCCTCCTAGTTTCTTAGTCTGAGCTATCCATGTGTCCTCTGCCCAGATATTTTTGCTTTCTATAACTTTTCCTTCTCCCCTGTGGTTTTAATTCTGCTCCTTCAAAACTCAGGAGAGACATAATATCTCCTTTCTCAGCATATGGTAGGCTTCCTTTGCTCCTGCTGGAGACTGATAGCCATTTTCTGTCTCCCTTCTTCCCATTCTCTGGGGTCTATCTACAAAGCCACGTGTTTCTCTTACCACCTCTCTACTGAGAAGTCCACAAATCTCTACCTCAGCTCAGATCTTTTCCTGAGCTTCAGACCCAACTGTGCTTATCAGGTATTTCCAGTTGCTCTTGTAATTAATATGTCCAAATCCGAATCTTCCTCCTGCTCTCAGATTCATGCATCCCTGCATTCCTCAACATGCTCAGTGCTTTCTATGTCTCATTATCTGTACTCCTGAGCAGAAAGATAAAGAAGCTGAATTCCATGCATTCATTCTGTTTCTCTCCATTTGTATAGAAAGATAGTTATTTTAATTGTGTGGTCAGTTCAGACCTCTCTGGATTGTAGCCCTACCGAAGCAAAGTGAGACGGATCAAATTAATCTTTACATTTTCCTATAATTTCCTTTTGAGGGAGTAGTCCTTGTTATCCACTAACCACTTCATTCATTCACCTGCAGCCATAAAACTTGCAGTAAAACAACAGGTTTACCCTCAAATGACTGAAAAAAGTTGTTTCACAAAAAGTTCTTTCCATCCACCTACTCACTGGTCATTCTTGTGAAGGGGACTATGCCACTGTTCAGTCTCTCTCTCTGTCTCTCTCTCTCTCTTTGCCCCTCTCCCCTCCTCTGCCCCTTCCTCCCCCCTTCCCCCTCCCCCGCCCTTCTCTCTTGGTCAGTCCTGGCTTGAAGTCAGGCATTGTCCCTGAGCTTTTGCTCAGGATAGCACTCTACCACTTGAGCCACAGCACCACTTCTGGACTTTTCTGTTTATGTTGTACTAAGGAATTGAACCCAGGGCTTCATGCATACAAGGCAAGCACTCTACCACTCAGCCAATTCCCAGCCCTCACTCTCTATTTTCCAGATGACTAAATGGGTGAGCATGTTTCTCTTATCTTGCAATCTAGTATCCAGAAACACTTGTCTTTATTTCTAGACTATCTCTGCCAGAAAGTGTGGCAAAACAGAATTTAAAAGTCAAACAGCTACACGTCAGTGGTTTAAATCTAAAATCCTAGCTACTCTAGAGGCTGAGATCTGAGGACTGTGGTTCAAAGCCAGTCTGGGTAGGAAATGTCTATGAGACTCTGATATCTAAGTAACCACCAAAAGCCCCTATGGAGCTGTGGCTCAAGTGATAGAGTGTTAGCCTTGAGCATTAAACTCAGGGAGAGCACCAGACCCTAAATTCAACTCTCCGCACCCCCTAAAAGTTAAACAGTCCATTCCATTACTGTTTTGTAACTCTGCTAAAGATTTGTTAAGGCTGAGATTCTTTCAGTATTGATTATCTATGAATTCAGAGCTGATTATCCTGCTAGTCTGATACACCACTGGCTGCCTACTCCCATCTTGAATTATATTATTTCCAGCTAGACCATCAAACTGGAGGTCTTCTTCTCTAGACCCTTTTCCTTCTTTCCTCCAGGGTGTGGTCATCCAAATCAAATAAACTCTTGAACAACAAAGACTTAAGCCTAACAGGAAACCTTACCAGATCTCCTTTCCAGTCTCCTTCTAGCTAGCCTGGCTAGAGGCAGATAATAATGCAGGAATGCTCGTATGCCTCAAACCTACATAAACAAACTGGGACATTCTTAAAGTCTTGCATCTATGTCAGAGAAGTACGTTTTAAAAAAAAAAAATCATGGGTTCGGGTAATAGTTACATGCTGGTGCAAAAATGAATATGCCACTTCAAATCTTTTGATGGAATATCTGTATTCAACAAGTCATTTGGGTTTATAGCCAACAGCAATAACAATACCTTCTGAGATACAGGGCAACAGACTTTCAAATGTCATTCATAGAGGTTATGCAATCAGCTGTCAAGAAATTTCAGAGGAAAAAAAATATTTGGTATCTAGGTTAGGTTAATATCACACTTCCTCTCTTCTGAATCTCCTTGGAAACTATTAGTTGACCCAAATGAGTCAGATCATTTCTTAAAGAGGACTCTAGCTACAAGTGTGAAGCTCTACATTGTACTAGCCCTAGCTATTTGATGCTTAGTACTGAGGATTGAAAACCCACCAGCCGGGCTGGGAAGGTGGCTCAGTGGTAGAGTGCTTGCCTTGCATGCCTGAGGCCCTGGGTTCAATTCTTCAGCACCACATAAGCAAAAAGAAAAAAGCCGAAAGTGGCGCTGTGGCTCAAGTGGTAGAGTGCTAGCCTTGAGCTGAAGAGCTGAGGGACAGCGCCCAGGCTCAGAGTTCAGGCCCCACAACCAGACCCAAAAAAAAAAAAAAAGAAAACCCACCAGCCTCAGGAAAAGTCCCTGGTTAGGGGAGTGGCAATGACTCTGAGCTGGAGAAGCCCATGGAATTTAAAATTCCTGTAGCTATGTGCTGCATGCAAGATAGTTCTCATTCCTGTGGGAATCCTGAAAAGGCCCAGTCAGGAAACATGCAATCATTGCATTCCTTAACCCCAGGGAGATATCTCCCTTGGTCTATGAACTGGAGAACAGGTCCTGCTCTGAGTATGCGCTGTAATCCTGCAAACAACAGAAGTCCCTGGCTCTCTCCCCAGCTACCACAGTGTACCTTGTGTCCTTTTTTTTTTTTTACTGGGGTTTTCTCTCCCTTCACATGGCAGTACAAGAGCCTTCAGGCTGTAACATCTTCATCATTCCTTGGCATTGAGGTCAAAATAAGTGCTTGGCTACAGGATCAGAGCTCAGCTGTCCCTGTCCCAATATAATGTACAGATAGTTCATTTGGGCCAGATGCAAAATCATCTCTTACTATATGTAACAATTGCTGTGGTTATCATAGGACAACGTTGACTGAAGAGCAGTTAAAGTGCTCCATAGACTAAAACGGAGCTTGGAGCCCAACTAAGGAATAAATTATTTCTCTGTTATTACTGTAGGGCTAATATTGATATCAGAGGCAATTAAAGTTTATCTAGATATTATACATTTCTACATAAATGTAGTTAAAATTCCTCTTTGTAACACACACACACACACACACACAAATTTGGAGGGAAAACCATGAAATCAGTGCAGTTTCTGGGCTGTAAGCATATTGTAACTAATTTCTACATACTGGTCACTCTAAGGGCAAGACATTCCATAATGCTGTCAGTGCCTCAAAACATCTCTGGAAGCCTCACTCTAGAATCATCTTTGGTGCTGGGACAATTTTAACTTTCTCTGGAAAATGAATGTAATATTTTAAATAGTCAGGATGTTGGAAGTAGAGATTAAAGAATAGGATTGGTAATTTAAGAAAGAATATGAGGGGCTGGGAAGGTGGCTCAGTGGTAGAGCGCTTGCCTTGCATGCTAGAGGCCCTGGGTTCGATTCCTCAGCACCACATAAGCAAAAAAGAAAAAACCAGATGTGGCGTTGTGGCTCAAGTGGTAGAGCGCTAGCCTTGAGCTGAAGAGCTGAGGGACAGCGCCCAGGCCCAGAGTTCAGGCTCCACAACCGGACCAAAAAAAAAAAAACAAAAAAACCTTATGTCTTAAGTAAGTTAAACAAAACCTCTATTGTATAAGATACCTAATTAGCTTAACAAATCTTTTCTGCTTAGAGCTGGATCCTTAACTCATCAAGTGACCTGAATTCATTAAGCTTGACTAACACTCCAGCTATTATTGTTAGAACCAATATGATGATACTATATCCAAAGTGCTGCCCTCTTTTTTTGTGGGGGGAGGGGAGAATGTTAAGGTAACATGACTGGGGCTTGAACTCAGGACCTCATGCTCTCAGCTTTCTTGTTCAGGGATCTACTGCTTGAGCTATGCCTCCAATCCAACATTTTTCTGACTGATTAACTGGAGATTATTATATAATCTCCAATTAATTAAGGTCTCTCTCAGCCTCCTGAGTAGCTAGGATTACCAGTACTCAGCTTAGGTGCTGCCCAGCTTTGAGCAACCTAGAGGAAGACTTAGATCCTTTACAGAAAGATTCCCGAGTGCCTCATGCCATCAATATTAAAGTCATGTGCCAATTGGAAATTCATTAAGGTCACCCATTAAAACGTGTTTTTTAGGGATTATTATTTTGTCAAATGCCATGAAACTACAGGCTAACCCCTTTTAAATACTATATCCTTCTTTAAGGTGTAATCTACACAGTGACCCTCCTTAGGCCTCCACATAAATACAGCACTACATGAAGTATCATATTGGACTACACTTAAGAGAATACCTAGTGCAATTCCCTCAGAACATTCTTAAGGAGATGTAGCCAGAGATACATTCCTAAGGTCCATGGCTTGTCACTAGCAAACCCAGACTGCAATGTGTTCTCCTAAATCCTAAGCTGTGGCTTCTCAAAAAAAAATAAAAAAGCATACAAAGCATAGTGACTCTCAGTTCTCATTCAAATCAGTAAAAAATTTGGTGATTAAATCAAATATTTCGTTCTGTCCTAGACAAAGTCTAGGGAAACATGACCGTTGTTCTTTCCAAATTCCTTCTGCTCTTTAATGCCTTCATATTTTGCACAGCTAAAAATAAGTGAATACCCAAATCTTCCAGTTAGTTTTCTGCATGTGGCTTCATGTCTGCCAAGCAGATGTAACCATACATAACCTGTAAGAGAGAGTAACACAGGCAGCAGCTTCATGCAAGAAATAACAGAGAAGACACTTAGACAGGTCAGGTAGAGGTTCTAGGGCCATCCCTGTAATCACAGATATTGAGAAGTTTAAAGAGGATGAAGTTTAAAGAGGCCTTTCTGCTAACACTTTTACAGAGTGATTACATATTTCAGTAAATTGCCTTTCTTGGTGGAAAAAGTCTAAAACCTGGCTCCAAGACCTTCCTGGAAAAAAATTACATAAGCTAATTTATTCCTTCTTATAAAAACTCAGAAAGAGAGCGGGCGCCAGTGGCTCACACTTGTAATTCTAGCTATTCAGGAGGCTGAGATCTGAGGACCATGGCTTGAAGCTAGCCTGGGCAGGAAAGTCTGTGAGACTCTTATCTCCAATTAACCATCAAAAAGCCAGAAGTGGAGCTATGGCTCAAGTGGTAGAGTATTAACCTCTAGCTAGAAGCTCAGGGAGAGTGCCCAGTCCTTGAATTCAAGCCCCAGGACAGGCACAAAAATAAATAAACAAACAAACAAACAAATAAATAAATAACTCAGAAAGGGTCTTTATACCAGCACGAATCAATTTTGTTTTCTGATTCTGACCTCAAGGAAGTATATTGTTAGAAATTTTCTGAGGATGAAGATGTCATATTTTTCACATAATAAGAAGACCAAGATCCACAACTTGAAGAACATCCAGATCACTTAACTCCTTTGAATTCACCTACGATGGATTTTTGGCTTTTTTTTTCTTTTTGCTTATGTGATGCTGAGGAATCGAACCCAAGGCCTCATGGTATTCAAGGCAAGCGCTCTACCACTGAGCCACCTTCCCAGCCCACAGGATGGATTTTTATAGCTCCTCATCCATATGTTTTTTTTTTTTTTTTGGTCTGGTCGTGGGGCCTGAACTCTGGGCCTGGGCACTGTCCCTCAGCTCTTTAGCTCAAGGCTAGCGCTCTACCACTTGAGCCACAGCGCCACTTCCGGCTTTTTCTTTTGGCTTATGTGGTGCTGAGGAATTGAACCCAGGGCCTCAGGCATGCAAGGCAAGTGCTCTACCACTGAGCCACCTTCCCAGCCCTCCTCATCCATTTTTATCCCCACAAAATCCCAACATGTACCTGTCATCTTTATTTATCTGGTCTCCAAATCCTACGGTGTCAACAATGGTTAGCTTCAGCCTAACGTTGCTTTCCTGAAGCTCATAACTTCTGGCTTTTAACCGGACACCTGGTTCGTTGTGAGTAGCTGGGTCACTTTCAAATTTGGTGTTGAACAAAGTGTCCATTAACGTTGATTTGCCAATGCCTGTCTCCCCTAGACAAACACAAAGGAAAAATCAGATTAATAGGTCAATGTCTTTCAGATAGCAGTCCAATTTTTTCATTACTCACATTTATAAAGTTTTTCTTTAGGACAGTATCACCAGAAATCACACTATGAAAAGACAGTCAGTTCTTCCTATGGATGCTCTATGATACACTTCCCTAGAAATGCCTCAATGGATTTCAAAAACTATTCAGCAGAAGAGCTTGAACTTACAGGTCTAGATGTTATTTACCTCTGAATAGAAAAAAAACAGTATTTGTGCTTTGTTTATGGTTAGTTTGCATATTACAAAGACAAAAACTGTATCTTGTTTTCTCCTAAAGCTTGATACACAAAACTACAGAAATAGTGGGCAGGGAACCTATATTGCTGAATTCTTATTATCTCATGTTTTCAAGAAGATATATGTTTCCACCAGGTACAGAGGCTCAAGCCTATAATCCTAGCTATCTTGGGGATGAAAACGGGGTATCATGGTTGGAAGCCAGGCCAGCTCAAGCATAGAAGTTCATGAGATTTCATCTCAACCAACATCTGGGAGCACTGGTGCACGTTTGTCACCCCAAGCTATGGGGAAGCAGAATGGTTGGGTAAATAGCATAAACCTGCCATTGCATTAGCAAAGGGAGCACAAATGGCAGTCCAGACAGGCTTAGACATACAGTGAGACCCTCGCTTAAAAACAACAAACCTGCCAAGTGCCGCACAATGGCTCATACCTATAATCCGAGCTACTCAGGAGAGGCTGAGATCTGAGGACAGCCCAAGCAGGAAAGTTTGTGAGATTCTTATCTCCAGTTAACTACCAAAAAGCAGGAAGTGGAGCTGTGACTCAAGTAGTAGAACATCAGCCTTGAGCAAAAAATCCAAGGGAAAGCATCTGGGCCCTGAGTTCAAGCCCCATTACCAGTTGGGCAGAGAGGGGGAACAAGAGAAAGTAGCTTAAGTGGTACAATGTCTGCTTAGCAAGTACAAAGAAAGCTAAAGGTCAAACTCTAGTACTACAAATAATAATCATGTGTGTGTGTGTGTGTGTGTGTGTATTTCAAAACCACTCTCTTAATCTCTTGACAACAGTAATTCCTAATGGTATTGAGTGCTTTCTGAGTGCTTTTGTCAGGCAAGAGTTTCTAATACATTCCCTCTAAATCCTACTACTACTCCCCCATCACATAAGTACTATATAGCTCCTCCTACCTGGCAGACAGAGAAGTAGGGTCAGATAAGGTTTAAATACCTTGCCTAAAGCCATATTATAAAGTGGCAGAGCCACTCTGGCCACTTACTGGCTGTAGGGCTATATAATGCCTCCACATTGCCTTTATTTTTATTTCTCCGGTCAACTAGAGTCAAGATGGCAAACATGTTCATGATAACATTTATGACAAAATTAAAATGCTGTTAAGTTGAAACGATGCCCTAATTAAATTATAGTAACTCAAGTGTTGATTAGGCCCCTCTGTGCAAAGCAGAGTGATAGATACCTAATACTACACCAGTCAAAATGTGAGTGAAGCCAGGTGCTGGTAGTTCATGCCTATAATCCTAGCTACTCAGGATGCTGAGACTGGAGGACCATGGTTTGAAACCAGCCTAGGCAAGAAAGTCTGTGAGACTCAACTTTCCAATTAACCACCCAAAAGCTGGAAATGGAGGTGAGGCTCAAGTGATACAGTACTAACCTTGAGAGAAAAAGAAACACAAAAAAGCTAAAGGACAGCTCCCAGGTACTGAGTTTAATCCCCATATGGACACACACACACACACACACACACACATATATGCAAAAATAAAAAGTTAAGGGAGACCCAAATGGGGAGCCATAGTGAACTTAAACTCAACTTTCAAAATAGTCCTAATTCTTCTGTTGAGTCAAAGATAGTGGACAATGAACCAAGTTGGTAATGGTGGTTGAGCATATAATGGTGGAGAGAGGAAGGTAGAAATCAAGAAACATTAGCCCTAAAGACAGCTTTAAAAAAAAAATCTATTAAGACTTCCATCTCAACCAAGATATGGAAACAACCCAGATGCCCCTCAATAGATGAATGGACTCAAAACATGCGGTGCTTATATACAATAGAATTTTATACCGCCATTAGAAAGGATAAAATAATGGCATTCTTGGGGAAATGGATGGAACTAGAACAAATCATGTTAAGTGAGGTAAGTCAAATCAGAGAGGCAAATGGTGGATGTTCTCCCTGATATGCAGAAGTTATAGACTTAAAACGCAATGGGACATGACAAACTATATAGGAGTCTAGATGCTCCCATACAGTGAAACCAAAAGAGGACAGCCTCAGGAGAAAACCAAGTTGTAAAACTCAAGCTTCTTCCTATAGATATGAAATTATATACATACTGAAATGAACTCCAAAGTTAAGAAAACAAAGGACCATTTCTTAATTTGTCTTTATGTTTTCTGATGACTGTATGCTTTACCTCATGTACAGTATATACACGTGCACATCTGAGGGAAGGCGGGGGAGGACACAGAATCAGTGGGAAATGGGTGAAAAAAATGCAGCAGCAGAGTTCACTGGCTGCACTGGACATTTATGGAAGTGAACTATGCAACTTGTGGGAGGAGATGGGAGGGAATGAGGGAACAGATGACACTATGCAAAAGGAAATGTACTTATTACCTGACATAAAGGTAACCCCACTGTATATTACCTCTGAAACAACATTATCTGTCTGTCTATCTATCTATTTTTAGTGGGTCATGGGGCCTGAACTCTAGGCCTGGGCACTGTTCCTCAGCTCTTCAGCTCAAGGTTAGGGATGTACCACTTAAGCCACAGCACTACTTCTGGCTTTTTCTGCTTATGTGGTGCTGAGGAATCAAACCTAGGACCTCATGTAAGCAAGGCAAACAATCTACCACTGAGCCACCTTCCCAGCCTCCAAAACAACAGCTTCCAGCTGAAGCCATGCATGTGGATTAGTCTTTAGCTACTTAGGAGTCAGAGATAAGAGGATCATGGTTCCAGGCTAGTCCAGGCCAAAAAAAAAAAAATCTTCAGACTTTATCTAAGTCAATGACTGGACCCACTAAGTGCACATCTGTCATCTAACTGACCTGAAGAAGCCTAAATAGGAACACAGTATAAACCAGCCAAGCCCATCTCAAAAAAATAACTAACACCAAAAAGGCTAGCAGCATAGCTTAACTGATAGGGTGCTTTGCCTACCAAGTTCAAGGTCCGGAGTTTAACCCTCAGTACTAGAAAAAGAAACAAACAAACAAATCCAGCTTAATTTAAATAGGCCAATATGTAGCAGCCTCTTCAACAAATTGTAATCCTGATAATGTTCCTGGAAGCATTTTTGCTTCAGAAGCCTTGCTGTAATGAATTTTAGGAGGGTAGCATCCCCTGGGAAAAAGTAAAGTTCCTCTACAAGGACCCATCCACTAATGAGAAGCTCTGTGTTGTACTCACTGCTTTCCAAACCAACACAAAAGTAAAACAAGACAGAGTCTCTAGGTCTGAGATTTTCTGCCACTTAAAAAAATTGTTTATATGACAAAAGGTGTTTAAGTACAGTCCACTTATTCCATAACTTTTCCCACTATGTCCATCCTACATCTAAATCGTAGACTGGAGACTTCAGCTTGTATTCAGCCAGTATTTTTCCAGTGCCTATTATGTACCAAACTCTGTGCCAAGTTCTGGGAATGCGACAATGAACTAGCCTGATATGGTGCTTCCCCATATCTTAGAATCTGGTCTAGAACAAAACTGAATACCAAGCAGACTCTAACTTATTATTATGGGAACAACATTCTAAGTGTCTGCCTAACCACATTCCTCTATGAGCATCATACCTTATACTCTTGTGACCTTGCAAGTTGATCACAGATAATTTCACCAGGGCTCAGTACAACTATAAGGGCCTGTTGTATTGCAATATAATGGTGGACCCATCCAACCAGAATGTCTCTATCTGAATGAGATATACAATCTGCACACAATGCCATGGCATGAAAAGGGGAAGAGGCTGAGAGAAGGAAATTAGCAGGAGCCATGAAGCAGCAGAGACTGTAGGTACCTGGAAGGCATGCTGTATATACATCATTCCTTGGGAGTATAGAACAGAGTAGGTCAATACAACGGAGTGAAGTATTAGAAATTCATTTATTAAAGGAACACTTGAGTATCTACTATGTGACAAGAATACATATAGGTATAATACAACAAAGGATACTGGTGCCAGTACTAGGGCTTGAACTCAGGGCCTGGACACTCATTGTTCCTTAGCTTTTTATCACTCAGGGCTGGTACTCTACCACTTGATCCACAGCTCCACTTCTGGCTCATTGGTAATTAACTGGCAATAAGAGTCTCACAGACTTTCCTTCCTGGGCTGGCTTTGAACTGTGATCTTCAGATCTGTCTTGTGAGTAGCTTGGATTATAAGAATGAGCCACTGGCACCCAGCTTCTTTGAACTTCTATAACATCCTGAATGTCATTCTAGATAGCTCTGAGGTCTGGCTGAGTAGCAGCCAAAGATATATTTTGTCTTCCTTACTTTTCTTTTTTTTTTTTTTTGGGTCCGGTCGTGGGGCCTGAACTCTGGGCCTGGGTGCTGTCCCTCAGCTCTTCAGCCCAGGGCTAGCGCTCTACCGCTTGAGCCACAACGCCACTTCCGGCTTTTTTTCTTTTTGCTTATGTGGTGCTGAGGAATCGAACCCAGGGCCTCAGGCATGCAAGGCAAGCGCTCTACCACTGAGCCACCTTCCCAGCCCTCTTCCTTACTTTTCTGAGTATTTATACAACAAAACCCATCCACAAAAATTCTGTAACTAGTCTTTATTCCCTAATGTGATGAAACTGACCCAGCTCACAACCATGATTCCTGTCTGAACTTTGAGCTACTTTGTTACTATGATGGATTAAAAAAAATGAAGTGTGATCCTCACCTTTAAGACTTAGAATGTGGTAGGCCAGCAAGGCACCAATGGATTATACCTGTAATCCT